TTAATATAATAGTTTATTATATAACATCGGTTGTCTACAAACTGTTGCAATAATATTTGTAATATCCAAAATGACATTTTCACTCCTAATTTCCCACTGTTGCTGTTGAAAAGAAGGAATCTGAGATAATTCTTTAAGTGCCCCTACTTCTATGCCTCTTGCTGGCTTCCTGTTTGTTGCTACATGGCATTAGATGGAGAAATGGTGTCTGATGTGGGATTGTCTTAACATAGCCCATTACTGGCATTAAAGGTGGAAAAGGATTTTATAGTGAGTGTAAACTATCAGCTGTTATGCCCATACCTGTCAAGTGGACTCCAGCCCAGGAGCAGCAAGCTTTCAGAACCTCGATTCTTTGACTTTACCGTCTTAGTAATGGGTCAATATTGCTTTTTGATGAAAAGTGTTACAGGGAACTGTGTGAGTGATGCATCATTGCTGACCGTGCCTTGGGTTTACAATCTGTTGCAGATAAAGACGATGTTGCCAGGTGAACATCAGCAGGTTCTAAGCAATTTGCAGTCCCGCTTTGATGATTTTGTGGAAGATAGCCAGGAGTCCAAAATCTTTACAAGCTCCGATACAGCACAGCTGGAAAGGGAAGTTAATGTTTGCAAGCAATACTATCAAGAGCTTCTGAAATCTGCAGAAAGAGGTAAAACTTTGCTGAGAAGAGTAGAAAGATGCCGTCACAAGAGAGATTGTAGTTCTTGATAAAACTTCTCTCTCTGAATACAAGCTCTAGTGAATTACCCATGTTATCATATTGATATTGTTAATATCAATATTGCCCCAGTTCTTCTGAACAGACAGTAGTAATTTTAACAATGTGCACAATTACATTGTATAGAAGCTCTAAGTTTCTTAACTTTGTATTCGTTAAACTATGTAGAAATACTGATGTGTTACTTAATATACAGAGCACTACAAGAAATTTTACACCCAAGAATTTATTCTGTGCACTACAGCTCACTGTTTAGTCATGGTTCCTTGTTTTTGAATGTTGGAAATGCAACTTGATTACTTTGAATTCATAACAGAATTAGAACTTTTTTCACACTGTTAAGGCAAGAAAAGTGTCCTAGATATTTTCCTAGCTCCACAGAATGCCTGTAGTTACTGCTTTCTTAACTCTGTTTTTAAGTACAATAAGAACAGAAAGCTTAAAATACCTGCTCTGATTTACTGTCAAGTAGCTAATGACTTAAGGAAATACAGTAGTGCAAAGCTGATTACTGCATTAGCATAGTTCACTATACTTAAACACAGACATGTTGCCCTGTGCATCTGAAAGAGGATTTTTAAAAAAAAAAACAAACTGATATAATCTGACTGAAAGAGTCAGTCACTGAGTGTAGCAGTGTTTGCGTAAGGGGTGATGCCTGTGCCTGGGATGAATGGTCAAAGATGTATGCTAATTTTTCATGTGTGAGGAGGTGATCTAAGAATAGTTAAAATTTAAAGGTTCCTAAAATTTGCCTCGTAGCCAAAATTCCAGTGGAAACTGATGGGATTTCAGCCAGTCATGAAAAGACCTGTAGAATGGTGACTTTATAAAGTGTTTCATAAGAAGACATGGTGGAAATGATGTGATGGCTTTGTTTGCTAACATGTGCCTTGTTTCTTTCAACAGAGGAGCAGGAAGAATCGATTTACAATCTGTACATCTCCGAAGTCAGAAATATCAGACTTCAGCTGGAGAGTTGTGAGGAGCGGTTAATACGGCAGATCCGAACCCCAATGGAAAGGGATGATCTACATGAAAGTGTGTTTAGGATTTCAGAGCAAGAGGTGAGCCTTTGAGAAAGGCTGTTTTACCTAGGAAAAGAGCTTTATTTTAAAACAAATATATCCAGATGCTTTGAGTGGAGCCAGGAAAGTTTGCGGTGCACCTTGAAGAGACAAGAGTCAAAGATTAAGCTTGTGTTTGTGAGAAAAAAGATGCCAATAAATGGTGACTCTGTTAGTTTCCCTTTTATGCATACGTTCCTTTTTAAAAATTTTTAATGGTGTCCCCATGAAACAAGCAAAGGAGAGCAGGCCTGTACTGATAATGATATGTAGAGTATACATGAGGTTGATGTAGGATAAAAGCACTGTCAATCACCTTTCATTTTACAGAAACTGAAGAAAGAACTGGATCGACTGAAGGATGACCTGGGAGTCATCGCAGATAAATGCGAAGAGTTTTTCAGTCAAGCTGCCGGTTCACCTTCAGTACCTACTCTGCGCTCTGAACTCAATGTTGTTATTCAGAACATGAACCAAGTTTATTCCATGTCTTCGATTTACATAGATAAGTATGTAATAGGCCATCTCCCATCACACATGTTTTAGTTTACAGTTTTCTCTTTAAAATAAAGATGAAGATACTGGTATGAATAATACTGATCAAGGAAAAGGGAGTTAACATAATTTTAACATTGTATAAAGGGGTACCCCGTGACGCGAAAAGGATGAAAAACATGAATATGTTGAGTGTTGTTATTGATGGTTCAGTTAACATGAGATTACTGTTTTTCAGATTAAAAACTGTAAATTTGGTGCTGAAGAACACCCAAGGAGCAGAATCGTTAGTAAAACTCTATGAAACTAAGTTGTGTGAAGAAGAGGCAGTAACAGCTGAAAAAAACAATATTGAAAATCTGATGGGTACATTAAAGGTAAGAGTTGGCTGGTGCCTTTTCACGGGCAAATCAGAAAATAATAGGAAAATGATCTGTTTTATAACACCTGTTTTGCTTATGCTGTACTGTATAGTGTATCAGAAGTTGGCTTGTGTATTTGGAGGACAGTCTGTATTAGGATTGACATGTCAGAAAAAAATGACAGCTTTGGAGCATTAGGACTTGGATTGTTTACATGCGCATTTCTGCTATTAGGAAATGCCTTGCAATATCTGAACTTCCAAGAATGGCCCTTGTTAATGCAGTAAGACTTTTTTTTTTTTTGTCTCTTCAAAAGGTAACACATACTTAAGGTAACATAAATACATTGTTATATAAATGTGACCACAATA